TTCGTGCATTATTGTTAACAAAATTACTATCGCAATCTTCATTTCGGTATATACTTGAAAAAACAATTCGTAAAGTAATCTAGCTCCTAATGTTTGTAAAATCGTTCGTAAATACATTTCTTATAAATTATATACATTGGTCGATATAAAAATCTATTCTGAATTCGGACCCCTCGAACATACATCGTCATGGAAGAGGACAGACGAGACGACAGAAGCATATTTAATGTGTAAAGGCGCGAAAGATCGTGAGAATGATTTTTCTGTCCTCTCACTGAGAGTTGGGTCGGGTTGTGGGTTGTTGCAGTTGTGGCTGGAATACCATACCTCATGAAGGTCTAAATGGCCGACACGCACATCGGCGTCTGGACGCGCGAGGTCGGGCTGTGTGAACGCCGATTAGGAAATGAAGAAAGAGGACTCGCAGGACGATGGTCGAACGAAGGAAAAATTCGCTCGACAGAAAAATCCGCGCAATGACGGAAGAAGCCAGGTGCTCTATGCTATCATGTGCTAACAGAAAAAGATAAATTTCGCTATTAAGCGAGTAAAGATGTTTCATGTTTCTTAAAGGAACGAAATATCTTGTTGCCATTTAACACATTGTTGTCGTCATTTATCAATTATCAATAATATTATTCCATCATCATATTTGCCGTCGAATTCACTTTCGTCATTGTTATCATTGTCAACGTCATCATCATCAGTGTCATAATGTCATTTTTATCGCTAGAGTCATCAACTACGTCATCTTTCTTCGCGATGTATTCATCCGTGTGTCATGCGCAAAAAAATAAATGAACATCCGCGAGCGATTTTAATGTTTCTGTTAATTGTTATGTTTGTAAGGAGCTTAGATATAAACGCATCCTACGATCAATAAAAGGACGTTATAGAGAAATAATTCACATCGGCTGTGCGTATACGATACTAAAGAGATTAGAGAAGAGCCAGTATATTAAATAGTATGTTGGTCCGGTATCTGCCGATGATCACGCGATAAACAGAATTATTCTCGCAACGTATGCATTTTTTATATAGAATCTCGATCCTTAACATCCGACCGTCGTCTAACGCTGAATATTGTTTATTGGTTTTATTTTATCCGTTAACCCGTTAACGTCACGAAGAGCGATACCGCCGATTTGTTGCATTTCATCGATAACATTCGCACTCAGTAATAGGTAGGACTTTATAGTGTAGGAAAAAGGAAATGTAAACAATCGCTGTTGTCAAGACTATGGATAGTGTTCTACCTAGATTGCGGTATATATACGCTCTAGCGTTTAATTTAACATGAGAGAGATTAATCGTTTGTAAACTAAAACCTTTCATTCTGGATTCTCTGTTTTTTCGATTTCTGTATTGTTTCTCTTCTATCCTAATAAAACCTACTGATCCTCAAACTAACCTTCCTCTTCAACATTATATTTATAAGACTAAAGAGATCTCAAGAATGAAATGAAAACTGGGCTAAGGCCCAGAGTTAGCGCGAAGCTATGAACGAATGTCTTGCCTATGATTTTATTTATATAACGAGATTTCTTAGCAATACAGACAGTTCCTATAATGTGTTTATGTCAGTCATTTGTTTTAAAGTGAAAAGAAATCTGATTTGCCATGAATTACAAACCATTTCGACAAAAATGCCGATTTAAAAAGATTGAGTTTAAAATTCAATAATAATAACAGTTACACTGAAATTATCGATATCTCACCATTAAAATTTCACAGAACTTATGAATTTTTGGAATTAGAATAACACAAAAATATCTATCTTAAAAATATTATCTTAATAAAAATATTATCTTGATAGACTGTATTATCTGAAAACAAGAAAAAAACGCATGTTGTCATACATGTAAATAAGATTTTACGAATTGCAAATATAATTGTGATTGCGTCTCTTATCTAAAATATTACTTTTAATTCCGGCATAAATAAGTTCTGCTCTTTTTTCAATACGTTGAAAATCGACATGTGTTTTGTTACATCCATATATATCTTGTTACATCTCTAATGCTTATCTAGCTTTATGCTGGTTGCATGAATTTACAATGAAGAGTAGCCTTTCGTAAAATCTCGATTAGATCGCGCGAAAAAAGCCATGATAAAGGTATCTATTTATTTATTTATTTGTAATTAAAATACTTCTTGTCTCATGTGTTCGCCGCGTTTTGTCGCTCAGTGTCCGATAATCTGCGCAAGATACAAACACGTCATCAGAAAATTGTTGTTGAGTTACAGGCGAAATTCGTATAATATTGTATCGCGACCTAAGAGCGTAAAGTCGATCATCTTAGGTACTTTAGAAAATCGTCGCGTCATCAACGAATAAAATTTTTTGTCGCACTGTATCTGTGATCACGATTATCAGACGTCATGAATTATTGCTCGTGAACGTTACGTGCGAGTCAATAAATCCTTGTTATTCGCATAAGAGCAGCATGTACGATAATAAAAGTCGATTATATGATAACAATAAATATATTTCCTAATATATCCTTTGTATTTGCTTTATCCACCATCGCTCTAATAATAATATAAGCTTTATTATTGTATTATACATACGCTTACACGTCCAATTCAATCGACAAAAACTCACATTAAAATTACGTAAATTATATACAAATTGTTTGATGTAGGAAAATTTAAAAAGTATAAAGATAAATTATTTATCTCGATTTATATATATATCTAGCAAAATGATATCAAATATTTGTAAAAATAAAAAAAGTTAATTTTTATTAAGCATACTTATTTAAAATAAAATTAAACTAATTATTCCTTGACACAATCTCTAAACGACTTTAAACGTTTTAGCTATATTTGTTATTGTTGTTATATAATCCTCAACAAATTAAACATATTTATGATCTCTTAATTTAATGTATGATAAAATCATATTATTAAAAGTATATAATTTCGTCATTATAAACAATCTTTACATAATTTCACAATAAAACAACAGTTTATAAAAAAAAATTGATAGAAATGAATAGCCATTCCAGAACAGCAACAATATGAATAATTATCGCTATATCGACATATTATTTTTTAATAAACTGAATTGTTGTACATCAAAAGGTAAATCAAAAGATAGATCACACAAAAGATCTCTAATATATCTAAACTAGTAAAGTTAGTACAGAAATCTGTCAAAATAGTCTTAAAAAAAGTCTCAAAAAAGCTTCAAAACGATGTGACTTTCTTTGGGCTTTAATATTATTATAATATTAATTTATGCATAGATATTTTGACTAAATATACTATATATATATTAAACTACATTTTTCTTTATTATATTAAATACAAAATTATCATCATTAAATACAAATCTGAAACTATTATAAACTGCATTAAAGATCTCTGATACATATTG